GAAGTTAGTGAAGAATAGTATCTTACCATCCTCTCTGAAAATAGTGCTTAACATCCTACCTGTTCTGTGGTTTTTGGCTGTGGAATTTACAGCAGAATTTCCTACAGATACATGAGCCAGTGTGTAAAACTTCTACTTGTCTATGCCATGTCGCTAGTCCATAATATGCTAAGATAATACATAATTAATGGTAGTGTACCAAGTCATCTCATTGTGTGAAGCTTTGGACCAGTAATGTGGTTCAGATTAGCAGTTTAGAGCTGATAGAGTTCGACAAATAGATCTGAGGCAAGTTCTGGAGTGAGAAAAGTAGGAAAGTGTTAAGAATTTCATCCTTGTGAGAGTCTGTGAGCTTTGTTCTTCTTGAATAGCGGTGAACTCCACCTCTGTCAATATCCAGATACCAATACCTCTAGCTTATATTACCTGGGTTAGTCAGGCATAATCATCTCTAAGTAGTATATTCACAGTCTTAGCTCTGTTTTAGTTGGTGATACTTACTCATAAAACACCCAGAACCGACGAGGAATTGGCACTGGGCTGAAAGTACAGAGACCAGTCGTGATTTAAACAGTCTCACTCCTGCACACTTCTGTACCTGTGATTGCCTAGAGTTTGATTCCTACATTAGAGGGTTTAGGTTACTGATGGACTAATAGGGTGTTGCTTGAGAAAGCCAGAAAATGCTTAAAACAGAATGTCATGTTTCAAGCCAACCGTCCAGGCTGACCGAAAATAAGCAGGCAGTCTCCTGCTCACTCCTTCCCCCATGCCCATCTCCACGGGGATGTGGAGGGAGAAAACTCAAACCAAAAAGGCTCAAGGATTAAGGGTAATAATCTGACAGGTAAAAAAAAAACAACAGAGAGACTTGGGGAGAATAATGAGAGAAATACCTTGATAAATACACCTCGATCTCAAATACACTTTCCCCCCCAAACCCCTCCCATCTTCCTGGCTACCTCCTCCCCACCATTCGGTGCAAGGGGGGCAGGGGCTGGGAGATGGGTCCATCTGGCTGTTACTCATTGTCCATGGCAGCTCCTCTTTCTTGAGAAGGAGGGCGCATCGCGGTCTCTCTTTCATGCTGCGTGGAGTCCACCTCACAAGTGGCAATCCTCTTCCTTCTCGTGAGTCTAACCCAGTCAGGGCCATGGATTGTTTTGGGCACATCCCCTGCTGATGCTTGGTCTCTCTCCACTCTCACAGGGGGCTCTTCATGCACTGCTGCATCCTGGACTTTCTCACTGTCATCAATCCTCTCACGTAGCAGGCAGTGATCTTCCTGCCATCTCAGCCACCATGGAGCTCCAGAGAAAGGTTCTGCTTGAGCACCCTTTTCCCTGTTTCTGCTCTGGCACCTTTCCTCCTCCTCTTTCTTCTCAGAACTGGGTTCCTTTGTTCTCCTCTCACCTCCCCCTCTCCAACAGAAGAACTCCCCAACACAAAAGATAAGACAACTCAAGACAAGAGGAAACGAATAAGAGAGAGAACAATGGTGTCACCTCTTTTAAATACTTTGATCACAGAGGTGGTAATTGGCCTGACCCTGGCCAGAGGTGGGTCTAACTCTTACCTGAGAGTGGGGGAGGCTCTTGAAGTTTCACAAGAGTCATCCTCCATAGCTCTCCCCCTGCTTCCAAAAACCCCACCAGGCTCAAACCCATCTTAGATGTTGAGTTTTTTAACTAGTATCAGCTTCACTGTGTGGTCTTTTAGAAGTCAGCTATGTCACATACATGCACAATATATGCATACTATCAGTCAGAACTGTGAGACCATACATGGAACATCATATAAATTACCCTATCACAACACTGGTTTCTAAGCTCTAGGACTGTGTTTTGCTATGTGCTGGTGAAAAGAGGTAAGTGGAGCTGCTTGGAGCCATGTCTAACTTAAGCACAACATATTCCTAAGCTCCTAAGGTGAATGTTATGCTCCTGATGCTAAAACTATCATGGGTATCTCTGCATAGTTCTATGTTTTTCTGCTTTAATCCTTGGCTCTGAATATGACTTCATGTTTTCAGACCTGAAAGGCCTTGTTTTACTTCCTCCTAACTAGTGTTAGTAGATGGGTAGGCGCTGCTGAGAAGCTTAGAATGGGATCCAGAAACCCTGGTGTGCTTTCCAGCAGTATTATTCAGGCAGTATTAATGTCGGTGGTTTCCTCTGTGGATTGATCCTCTTAGCAGGTGGCTTAGGAAATCCCACCATACAGAATCATAGCATGTTAGGGGTTGGATGGGTCCTACAGTGATCATCTAGTCCAACACCCCTGCCAGAGCAGGATCCCCTAGGGCAGCCACACAGGAACGCGTCCAGGAGGGTTTTGAAAGTCTCCAGAGAAGGAGACTCCACAACTTCTCTGGGCAGCCTGTGCCAGTGCTCTGTCACCCTCACAGTGAAGAAGTTTCTCCTCATGTTGAGCTGAAACTTCCTGTGTTCTAGCTTATACCTGTCATTCCTTGTCCTATTACTGGGCACCACTGTGAAGAGACTGGCATCTTCCTCCTGACACCCACTCCTCAGATATTTATACACATTCATAACATCCCCTCTCAGCTGTCTCTTTTCAAGATTAAACAGCCTAGCAACTGTTGCTCTGCATAGTTTAGAAATATTTTTCAGTAAGGTTTCACCATGTTGAGTTATCAAATCCAATCCCTGTAGGACGGTGTGATGTTGTTCACATGATTTCTCCAGAAGTACGTGTGTTGCTGTAGGAAACAAACAATATATTACTTTAATGATTTTTTAGTTTGTTTCTGAATTCTAGCCATAATGTTTTTGAAATGTTTATGAGTGATAATAATTTAGGAATAATAGTGTCTTTGGTAAGCTAATTATCTCAGCAAGGTAGGTGATTCCAGTTCTTCTTTAGGCTTTTGCAAGTCTTGCAAAAGGCTCAAACAGCAATAGTAAAACACTGTGCTAAGACAATCTCTACTAATCCAGAAAAACTAGTATGAGGTGGAAGGTTTGGCAAAGCAGTCCATTCTTCCCACTCTCACCTTACAAAATTAAAACTTCTATTTGTTGATGCACAGGGACTCCTTTGTTAAGAAACCAGGTTAAGTTTGATGTAAAGCGATACATTACTCAAGCATATGTTTGAGTTGTAAAACTTTCGTACAAAATATTAGGGAAATTGGAAGGCTTTCAAAATTTAAAGAAATAAATATTTAAGGGGGTAGTAAAACTTTACTCTGCCTAATTATGTAAAGTAAAAGGACAAATAAATCTCATGGATGCTATTTCAGCTCTTACACTGATTGTTTCTTTAGATGCAGGGTGGTTAATATACCCTGTCTGACAAAGCCCATGAAAATATTTTTCTGCTTGCCTGAGACTCTGTGGAAGCAAGCTATGCGAGGTAGACAGCTGAAGGGGAGGAGATCCGAAAGACCCATAAGAACCGTTCCCAAGCAAGAGGTGATAGTGGCAGCCGGAGTAACCCACTGCTCCATTCCATGACAGGAGGGAACATGCTGTTGGGTTCCAGAGAGAGCTGGCAAGGTGTCTTCAATTTTCTCCACAGCCAAGGATTTACTGGGTGTCCCAAGTCTACAAATCCTACTTGAATGGCTTGTCAGCTGTATACAAATCAGGATCTGGCATTTGGTTTTCCTTGGCTTACACTTGTGATCCAAACACAAAATCTTCAGAAACACATTTGTGCAGAGCGTCAAATCTCCTTCCCTAGGCTTAGCAAATCCTGTCCTTTTTCTCTTCTGCTTGAACTTCTAGAAGTCACAAAGAAGCGTGGACATCCATAGATCAGATGTGTCCTGTAGGCTTCTTTAGGTGTGGAGGCCTCTGCGTAAGATACGTAAACTCAAGTTCAATGCTCATAATGTTGAATGGCAAAATGGCCAAGCTGACACTGAACATTCTGTATCGTAAATCTGTGTACAGTTGTCCACATACAGCCCTCTACCCCTTCCTATAGAACTTCATGTTCTAATCATAGAATCGTAGAATACTATTATAAAATCATTTAGGTTGGAAAGACTTCTGAGTCCAGCTGTTTAAATACCTCCAGGGATGGTGACTCAACCACTTCTCTGTGCAGCCTGTTCCAATGCTTTTGACAACACTTCCCATGAAGAAGTTTTTCCTAATACTCAATCTAAACCTCCTCTGGTGCAGCTTGAGGCGATTTCCTCTTGTCACTTGTTACATGGGAGAAGAGACCAACCCCCACCTCGCTACAACCTCCTTTCGGGGAGTTGTAGAGAGTGATAAGGTCTCCCCTCAGCCTCCAGGCTGAACAGCTACAGTTCCCTTGGCCACTCTTCCTAAGACTTGTTCTCTAGACCCTTCACAAGCTTCATTGCCCTTCTTTGGACATGCTCCAGCACCTCAGTGTCTCTCTTGTAGCGAGGGGTCCAAAGCTGAGCACAGAATTTGAGGTGTGGCCTCACCAGTGTTGAGTACAGGGCAATGATCACTTGCCTGGTTCTGCTGGCCACACTATATCTGATACAGGCCAGGGTGCTTTCAGCCTTCTTAACCACCTGGGCACACTACTGGCTCATCTTCAGCCAACTGTTGACCATCTTTATAACTTTTGGCCTAAATTCAAAGCAAAATAAAATAAATGTAAGTATCTGCAATCTTCTTTTTGTCTTAAGCAACATACATGCACTAAAAATTATCAAGAAAAAGTGGGTGGAGTAGCAGAGGAGAGTGACTTCAAGGTTCTTTGTGTCCTTCTCTTTTACATTATATTGTGAATTAGCTTTTTCCACTTGAATACACAAATGCTGGAAGACCCAAAGCTAGATGGAGAGCATCATTCTATTGCACTCAAGCCTGTGTTGGGCTTGATTCACTATTCCATTACAAGAGGAACTGTAGCATAACTTTTTGGTAATAACATGATGAGCTACAGAGTCAGGACCTGTATCAGTTTTAATACTGCTTGCAAAGAGTAGGAATATTTGATTTTTATTATTTTTCCCCATCAATCTTTTTTTTTTTTTCTCTCAACAGGATCCACTTTGTGTAGCTATGAACTACAGCCATCAGAATACACTACAGACCCAAGGGCCGCTAAGTTATGTCCTAAATATCCTGTTCCTGAGAGGTAATATTAACATCTTGTCTGATTGGGGGTGGAGGGAGCAGAATTTTTTTTGGTGACAGTTCTTTATAAAATATACAGCACAAATTTATTCTGTCTTACAGGTGGGTGTTTTAGTGTATCATTATATATGCATTTTTTAAAAAAATAGTGAAAGCAGCTCTTAAAGAAAAACCTAAACTATCCATACATGTGTTACTGAGAGTATTGAGCTGGTACCCTCAAGTTCTCTTCTATCTCACGTAACTGACATTGTTTGGAGTATCAGCCTTTCACCCCGTGTCCAGCTGCCTGTTGGTAGTGCAGTCCAGAAACAATTATGGAGCACTTTGACTCTTTGGGAGGAGAAGGGGTATATTGAGACACAGCTCTCCTGCAGTGTTCACTTCTTGTACCTTACCTCAGCCAGTGAGATTTGGCAAATTGCTTTTTATTCTTTCAGTCTCAAAAACGCTAACATGAGGATGGTCAAGTACCAAAAAGAGGACTGTATTTTATAAACAGATCAATCTGAGTTTTATTCTTTAAAATGTTATATTAGACTGCATTTTGTAAGGTAGGATAGAAAAGCTCGTACCTCCAGAAATTCTACTAGCTCTGCTGCCTTGAACTGTGGAGATTAGCATTGTTGAGAAAGTAGTCTGTTTACTGTTATGCCCACTCTTTTGTCAGTAATTTCACTAACTCAAGGAGAGTGAAGTGTTTTCTCAAAGTTTACCTTCTCAGACATATTCAGTAGTGCATTACAACTGCAGAGTCTTTTCCTATGCACAGTTTTCTGTTATGCTTTTATTAAATGTTATAATTGTGTCAGTTCTAAACCCCTTGATTTTAAGTCTTTCTAGTCTGCATGGTAGTCAACAATTTTTTATATTGTAATGGCAATAATTAGCAGCTGGAATATTAAGGGGTTTTTTTGTTTTATTTTGTTTTTTTCATACAGCAGATTAATATTCCATGCAGCTAATCAGCCGTTATAGCTGTAACACAAAAACAAATGTAAACTTCAGTGCCAGATTGCATACTGAAAAGGCTTGTCGGTCTTAATTTTTATCTGAATTATATTGACTTTTCTTACTCTCTGTTCCCATGTTATTCAGTCTGAATGAATATAGCTTAATAAGAAAATAGAAGGATAGAACAGTGTGTTAGAGTTCCAATGACACTATGTAAATTCCTTAGAAATATTATCTCTAGAGTTATCTCTGAAAAGCTATTGTGTGAGTTGAGTACTTCCCCTTTCTTATTTGGTATGAATAAAATGTACAATATGTTTAAATATTTTTGAAATTGAAAAGTCTGAACTTAGTGCCTTAAGGCAAAAAAAGGCCAATATTGCATCTGTAAACGACTCTAGTTTTCAGATTTTTATAGTTAAATTATGTGAGTAAATTAGTGTAATTTGGAGGGAAACAGAATCCTGTGGAGATGAACAAACTAAAACCCAACGCCCTGTAGGGTGAGGCATTCAGGGAGAACTTAGTGAACACTCCTGTTCTTGGACTTGATCTGTCAGAGGTATGAACCATCATCTGATTCCTGTTAGGTCCATTGGGTGGAGGTAGCCTGTGCTGTGAGGACCGTCCCCTGATGTTTTCTGTTCTACTGCCAAGCTTCTTCATGCCCTTTAGTTGAGGCTCCACCTCTCAATGGATTCTGATCCTCCAGCTTCAAGGCATCATGTCCAGCTTGGCACAGCAGTGCAATCAGCAATATGTGTTTCTTCCAGAAACCATGCCTGGTGTATCTCAGTCTCAGTAGTGTGTAACGTCACTGTTTAGAGGACGCCAGAGGAAAATGTATCCAGCTTTTTTCTGCGGCATTTATCTAACAACCAACTTTCCCAAGAGCACAGCTGTAAAGAGCAGCTAGCAATGACATTCCAGCCAGGCTTCCCTCACACAGGGTGATATATATGCCTAGGCTTTGCAGTGAGAGAAAAAGCTCTCCTCTGTAATCTAGTACTTGAACAATCAGATAGATCTCTTAACTTTATTTGAATATTGCTTTAAAAGTAGAAGTTTTAACACCAGCATCTGCTGACTTGAACTTTACTCACTCTTGTTCTGATTAAGCATCGTGTTGTTATTCCCAGAAACTTGTAATTCTATTTCAGTATGTAATGTACCAAGTTACAAACAAGAAACCGTATAAAATAGCATAGGTCACAGAGAACAGATCTATTATTGTTTTTGTTATTAAAAAAGACGCTTACCTCACCTACTTATTCAGTCAAAACCACCGAAACAGCAGCAGATCTCAAAAGATGGATTCTCTGGAGTCCCATTTACTCATGAAAGTTTGTAGGATCCACTGTAATGTAGTAATTTCTTCATTAGTTACAGAAGTGTTAGAAATTGAATATAGCACATGAAAATATGTAACTTAAGATTTATAGTGATACTGCTATAGCTTAAAGGACATTAGATGGTACACAAAAACCGTGGTTTCCTTTCTTGGGATGTATTTTGGAACAGTATTTTAATCTTCTTAGTTTCCCTTTTCAAAATGGTAGATGAGAGAAAGACAATCCTTTGCCCGCTCCCAGCTCAAAATTTGAGTGATGTTGCTGATATTGACTACTTCTAAATGCTCTAGGCTTTCTGCAAAGTGAAGCAGTTAACAACTAAATAAACCTCTCAGATTTCAGTTTTTTCTGCTACTGCGGCATATAATGAGCTGCAGTATGCTACATATTTCAAAATAGGCTATGTTATAAGAGGCGAAGAGGGTATATGGGCTGCCTTTTAAATAGGGCAGCCATCATTATGGGTTTAATTTGTTTTCTAACAACTGTGACTAATTCACAATTACTTTGCTGTGCTTAACCGCTGTCTTCATCGCTACCCAGAAGTAGACAATCAGTATGAGCATCTCCAAATGCATTTACCCAGTCAGCACAGAAAGTTTAAAACCGTATGATTTGCAATTGTCAGTCACTTCAAGCAAAGTCGTAGGATCTACTAATTACCTAGGTATGGCAGGTGATCATAATTTCTCCTGAATAATTACACACTAATGATTTTCAGCATGTTGTCTATTTTTTCCCCAAAAACAAAGCATAGAAGGGATGTGCCTAAGGCAGCTGGTTTACTCACTACGTACTTAAAACGACGGTTAGGATTTTGAAAAGGCATGGGCTTAACAAGTTAGTTATTGAGTGCAGAAAATTACTGGTTTATAGGTCATTGCTGAAGTGAGCAAACTGCAATAGATTATGTGCATTGCTGCTGCAGTCCACTGAAATCTTTTAAGTAAGGAAGATTGGGCCAGGTGAAGCAAGTATAGAGGTAAGGAGAAAAGACTGCCTTAATACAGAAGACTTTTCTTGCATTGGATGTGCTTACAGGAAGGAACATGTGTCTGAAGTGTAACTGGGAAGATTGATCAAGAGATCTAATGGGCCTCTTCAAGGTCTGACATAGTTTATGAGCAAGAAAGTCAGCTGCTTAATGGGAAGAGTTTGGAAAACAAACTTAGCAGCTTTTCAACTGAAATTTTTGCTGTCTTGTGTCTCCTCTGATGGACTTGATAGCAGGTTCTGCTGGGCGTTCTGTAAAGTTTAATGCATAGCGTCACCGTTCAGAAATAATGAAACAATAGAGGTGTCTTTGGATGTTTTGCAAAGTGCATGATAAAATCATGCAAGTGCGTAATTTTAACACAGTTAATGAAAGAAACACTGTGATTATGATCTTCAATACAAGAGCGAGTTTAGGATGGGGACGGACTGAGAATAAGTACATTGGTTTTGCCTGGCAGCAGTTTTAAGTGCTGATGTCCTTTAGCATAAAACGTATGTTTTCAGGAAAGGTATTGTGACTCTGGAATTTCTTTTGCTGCAAATACAGGCTAGAATTCTAAGACAAGTGAAAGGCATTGTTTCAGCTGCTGGTTCACCACCTGACACTGGAATGGGAGATGTTGAAGTGGGAACAGAAATGTGTATTTTCTGAGCCTTGCCTTATAAGGGTGGGAGGGTGATAATTTCCTATTGGATTGTGCACTCCAGCCTCACAGGGTTACCTGTAAGAACTGCATCACTTCCCATTGTGGTCATCCTCATTCCAGCAGCACCTGTGCATTCAACACATGGTTTCTGGTTATGATGTTATGAGGGTGGAATGGTTACATCTATTCACCTTTCATTTGTGTGTTGATGTGGCATTTATATTAAGTAGGAGTAATTTTTTTTTCTGATTTTTTTTTCTTGTGTCACCAGTGCACCTATTCCATTCTTCCATCGCTGTGCTCCTGTGAACATTTCCTGCTATGCCAAGTTTGCAGAGGCCCTGATCACCTTTGTCAGTGACAGTAGTGTCTTACACAGGCTGATTAGTGGAGTTATGACCAGCAAAGAGATTATAATGGGACTTTGCTTGTTATCACTAGGTAATTGTTTTTCTCATTACTAGCTATTTCTTAGTACTGCATTAGGAGATTGTTAACACCCTCTAACCATAATATGAGCTAAAAGCATGTGTGATAGCGATGAGCCCTTAGAAAATGATTCAGAATGCTTTTTTAAAATTTTGTTTGATGGCTGGGTAATTTATTCAGAAGCAATATATATATGCGTTCCTGTTTTTCCTCCTCTTCCACTGCTTGTGAGATAGCAGATATGTGGCTATTGATTAGCCAACGTTAGTTTTGGTATACTTAACAGAGCAATCGCATTCTCCTAACTTTTGTTATAATATTCCCCTTTCCCATTTCTTACATTCATCTTCTGCCAACACAACTCTAAATAAACCCTGCCTAACAAAAAATAACAGGGTGAGAATTGCACAATAGCACACTCTTCTAGGATGTAGAAGTTTAATTTTGTTTCACTCAACATACTTGTGCAAGGACTATGAAAACTTTCAGAAGGAAAACTAGAAACTTAGGTGCCCATTTACTGTATTACGTGTTACCTCCTTCTTTACTTTCCTCCAAAATTAAAAGCTTCAGGCCTTTGAAAATCTCGGCCTTGTCTGAAGAGTTGGAAATTGTCGGCAAAATGGAGGTGCTGCATCATTTCTACAGTTGTGAGATGCCTCTGGCCTATAGAGTGACAGGTTGCACTAGACTGAAGTGCTCTTTTAGCAGAGTCTTGTGAATTAAGGTGGAATAGTACTCACCCACATAAATTACTTTCCTAATGGATCTATTTTAGTCCTGTTTAGTTCAAATTCTGAAATCTTAAAATGGGAGGCTTCAGATATTAGCCATGTATATCAGCGGTGCGTGGTTTACAAAGCGATGTTGGGAAGCTGTATCAGATAAAGAAGTCCGTTGTTTTCAGTCTGCTCTTGTAGTTACAAAAACAAAAAAAAAAAGGGAAAAAAGAAGAGAGGATGCTAGATACCATTTAAAAAAAAGTATCTTTAACTATAACTGGAAAGATAGTCCTCTATCTTGACAGCTGTAGTATTTGATAATAAAGATAGAAAGACTGTTGCAAATCTGAAAGCAAGTGGCTGATTAACAGTGCAACTGTGCGGTTAAGGCTGAAAGTTTTACATACAGTTAATTTAAAAAATATTTTTATATCTTCATAGTTAAACAGAATTTTATTTACTTTTCAACATAGTTAAGATTGTATGATTCAGAAAGCCAGGTTTCAGTGACTTTTATGTAACAGGTGTACACAAATAGGTGTATGCAAAATTATATCTGTGTGCTTACACATGTCAATCCCTCAGTCTTAGTTGGCTGATATTGTAGAGGCCTTTTTAATAGGCAGTTGCTGAATGGCAGTGGAACTGTGTGAACAAAGTTTGTTAAAGAATTAATTTTGAATGTTGAAAATAAAGTCATAACTTTTATACTTTTTACTGGCATGATATTTTGGAATACACAGGCGTCACATTATCCGCACTTGTTTAACAAGTGTGTTTAAGTACATTAAATTGTGCTCTGGTCCTCCGGAGGTGTGCTCATTTTATCAGACTTGGAGTACTGTCATGTCTTGCTGTCTGTTCTGTCATTGTCTAGATACATCTCTGTCTGTATGTACACATTATGTCTCGTATTTAATGTACCATGTAAATGTATTTATGCTCTCTTTGTTTTAATCAACAGTATCAAAGCAGAAGTTGTAGAGCTGCCTCCTTAACTGTCTGTGCAGTGAGTTTGTAAGCCTCAGAAAAGAAATCTATGTGTAAAAATTCTGATAGAAAGCAGTTAGTGCAGTGAGAGAGTTAGGAAGGCTATTTCTACTTGAAATAATTGCTCTGCTTATTTTATTTGTCTTCTTTTGCAGTGTTGTCCATGATTTTGATGGTTATAATCAGGTACATTTCAAGAGTACTTGTCTGGATTTTAACAATTCTTGTCATTCTGGGATCACTTGGTAAGTCTTACTTGTCTCTTAATTTCTTCAGGCCCCGATCTGGTATTTGTGCTCCATGTTCTTAGGCCAGCTCATTCCTGCACAGAACTTGGACCACGCGTTTCCCTTCAGCTTTCCTTTGAGTCCCTTGCAAGACGTACATAAAAAAATGCAATCAATGCCAGTCCTCTCCCAGAGGGTATGTCACTCCTTAGAGATTTGCTGCACACCCTGCTTGACTGGCAAGCTTCCCGTCAGCCTATCTCACTAAAGCCCGCAGAGGGAATACAGGATACAATACAGCACTTGCAGCAGAGCCCTAAATGGTGCCTACTTCTAACCTCCTTCCAAACACTTCAGCAAGGCAGCTAGTCTCCATGTGTCTGATAGCTTGCCCACCTGCTGGGCATAGTCCAGCATGCAGGAATCAATGGGCAGCTGTTGTTTATGCAGCCTCAGGGGACCTTAAGATGCAGATGTGTCCATAGAACCCCTCCCAACATGTTCATCAGGCCCTTCAGTCCTCTGAATAGCTCTACAAGTATATGTAAGACCTGTTCTTGAGAAGACTAAACAGTGGTGCTTTTCTAGCATTTCTGATCAAAACATTGTAGGGCGGCTGACACCCTGGAGGGTAGAGATGCCATCCAGAGGGACCTCGACAGGCTGGAGAGGTGGGCCCATGGCAACCTCAGGAAGTTCAACAAGGCCAAGAGCAAGGTCCTTCATCTGGGTCAGGGCAATCCCAGGCACCAATGTAGGCTGGGCAGTGACTGGCTGGAGAGCAGCCCTGAAGAAAAGGACTTGGGGGTGCTGGTAGATGAGAAGCTCAACATGAGCCGTCAGTGTGCACTTGCAGCCCAGAAAGCCAGTCGTGTCCTGGGCTGCATCAAGAGGTGCGTGGCCAGCAGGTCGAGGGAGGTGATTCTCCCCCTCTGCTCCACTCTCGTGAGACCCCACCTGGAGTGCTGCGACCAGTTCTGGAGCTACACTGACTAAGAAGGAAAGGACATGTCCAGAGAAGGGCCACGAGGATGATTAGGGGGCTGGAGCACCTCTCCTATGAAGACAGACTGAGAGAGTTGGGTTTGTTCAGTCTGCAGAAAAGAAGGCTCTGATGAGACCTTATTGTGGCCTTCCAGTATCTTAAGGGGCCTACAAGAAAGCTGGTGAGGAGCTTTTTAGGATGTTGGATAGTGATAGGACTAGGGGGAATGGACTGAAGAGATGGATAGTTTTAGACTGGATGTTAGGAAGAAGTTCTTCCCCATGAGGGTGGTGAGACACTGGAACAGGTTACCCGGAGAGGTGGTGGAAGTCCCATCCCTGGAATTTTTTAAGGCCAGGCTGGATGGGGCTCTGAGCAGCCTGATCTAGTGGGATTGTCCCTGCCCATGGCAGGGGGGTTGGAACTAGGTGATCTTTAAGGTCCCTTCCAACCCTGACAGTTCTATGATTCCATGAATCTATATGACTCAAAGTCCTACATGAGAGAGGTTATATATGAAATGCAACCGGTCATGTGATCTTTGGAATGGTTAAATACTGTCTTGTCCAAAATGACACAGCTTGCAGTGGTGTTCCCCAAGGGTCAGTAGTGGGTCCAGTTGTGTTCAATATCTTCCTCAGTGACCTGGATGAGGGGATGGAGTGCACCCTCAGCGAGTTCATTAATGATACGAAACTGGGAGTGGTGGCTGACACACAGTAAGGCTGTGCTGCCATCCAATGAGATCTGGACAGGCTGGAGAGCTGGGCAAAGGGGAACCTCATGAAGTTCAATAAGGACAAGTGTAGAGTCCTGCATCTGAGGAGGAATAACACCAGGCACCAGTATAGATTTGACGTTGCCCTGCTGAAGGCAGCCCCACAGAGAAAGACCTTGGAGCCCTAATGGACAGTAAGTTGTCCATGGAGCAGCCCTTGTGGCCAAGAGGGCCAATGGGTGCATTAAGAAAAGTGTATCCAGCAGGTCTAGGCAAGTTGTCTTCCCCTCTACTCTGCCCTGGTGAGACCACACCTGGAGTACTGTGTCCAGTTTTGGGCTCCCCAGTTCAAGAGAGACAGGGACCTACTGGACAGAGTCCAATGGAGAGCTACAAGGATGATTAAGAGACTTGATTGTCTCTCCTATGAAGAGAGACTGAGAGAACGGGGGGTTGTTTAATTTTGAGAAGAGAAGGCTGAGAGGGGATGTTATGAATGTGTATAAATATCTGAGGAGTGGGTGTCAGGAGGAAGGTGCCAGTCTTTTCACAGTGGTGCCCAGTAATAGGACAAGGAATAATGGGGACAAGCTAGAACACAGAAGTTTCAGCTCAACATGAGCAGAAACTTTTTCACTGCGAGGCTGACAGAGCACTGGCACAGGCTGCTCCGGGAGGTTGTGGAGTCTCCTTCTCTGGAGACTTTCAAAACCCTCCTGGACGCGTTCCTGTGTGGCTGCCCTAGGGGATCCTGCTCTGGCAGGGGGGTTGGACTAGATGATCTCTAGAGGACCCATCCAACCCTTGACATTTTATAATTCTCTGATTATGATTCTATGAATGTAGCCTTAATTTATCACACTAACTTTTAACATTTGTAGCACTGAAGTTCTCTGTTGTCGACACTCAGTAGCTAAGCCAAAATGTATGAGCAGATGACTGTAGGAACAAAAATAGAATAATCAAATTAGGAAGCACTAGCAATTTAATTCTTGCAATTTGTCACTGCAGGGGATGGAAAAAAAGTCAGCAGACTGCCTATTATTTTTCAGGATCACTTGTTTTTTTCTCCTTACTGGTCTCAGGATCTGTGTCCACAGAAAAGGAAAAAATAGATCTCTTTTTTTTTCATTTCTATTCTCTTTAGAAGCTGAGCAACTATGTAGAGTGAAAGAGCTGAATGTCTTGTCTTAGTGCCATCTGTTATTATATTTTTTAAAATCACATTAATTACACAGACTGAATAACAGCATGTCATACATGAGACATACTGCTTATTCTGTATTCACTGTTTGTTTAGGAGATGCCAAAAGAACATCTACCATTTTCGACCTGAACAGAGTACTTTCAGCAAAAACTTGTGATCTCTAGATGCAGCTGATTTAGAAATAACAACAGAATAGAGAAGGATACTCAAAGGAGAAAATAAATATACCAGAGGGGAAACGTTATTTCCCAGAGGAGCTAGAGTCCTGTTTTTAAGAAAAATTCTACATTGAAAAATTAGCTAGAATAGGAGAATAATATTCTGGCCATAAAGCTACGATTACTTAATAGGGGTTAGAAGAAAGTACCTCATGTTATATTGGCCTCCTGCGCCTTTTGCTGATGTTTTTTCCAGTGCCCCAAAAGATACTATGCATTGATAACCTGAGGTGCTGTTTTGCAGCATGAGGGCTGCTTCTTCTCTTCTTGATTAGTGTTTCCAGGAGTTGTAGACTTCTTCTGTTCCTCTTGTCGTTTTGCATCCCAATCCAAAGGTCTTAAATTCTGACTCCCTATCTTATTATACACATATATACATACAGCCTACCATAAAACTCTTTGTTCTTCTTTTTATTCCTCTGTTGCATAATGGGGCCTGTGGTCTTCATTTTTAGGGCTCCCCATGAACTAATCCTTTCATGCACTTCACCCGAAAGCGCAATCCTCCACTTGAGAAGAGGGCAGAGGAGAACTAAACATCAGTTAAGCATCAGTGCCCCTGAGTATTCTGTACTGGACTAGACTTAAAGTTTAGTTTCTTTGGTACTATGTAGTATGGCTATGTCACAATGAAGCAACATCTTTAATTTGTCTTTGTTTTTTATTATTTTATCTAAAACATAGGTGGCACAGGAGTCCTGTGGTGGCTCTATGCTAAGCAACGAGTATCTGCCAGTGCTGTTGAGACTCAAATAGCCAAAGACAATCTTCAGGCTCTCCTGATCTATGCCATTTCAGCTACAGTCTTCACGGTATGCTTTACTTTATTTTCCTGTTCTGTTTTCTTCGTGGTCTCGCTTTTTTTTAAGTCTGATAAAAGGTTTATATTGCACACATTTTTGAAGAGTTTATTTCTACTGCAAGTTCTGTTGCAGTGATTTTTTTTTTAACTTTGTTTGTTTGCTAATACTTGGGTTTGAGTCAAGAAAGGGTTCCTAACCCTGCAGCTACTCTTCTCTATTGTAAAATGTCCACCTTCTTGCAAGAATATGTACAATATTGGACTCTCAAGCCAGTTTCTTCCAAAATTTTTCTTAGGTTCCTGGTTCAGAGGTAGTTAGTAATTTCAGTTTATTTGAAAGTACTTAGACTATTCCTACTTCTGAAATCAGTTGTTCCCAAACTTTTTTCAGTGGCAGAAGGATCACTGTGATCTGAAATAACCACACTGGTTACTGAACTAATTTATTTTCTTTAGGCCTTGCTGTTCATTTTGGAATCACTGGCTTGACTACTAAAAATTGACAAATGTTTGACTCACGTGATGAGACCACCACACCATGCTCAAATATAAATGTTAGATTTTATTCTTTGTTAAAGCTTGCTGATGTCACTGGTTTGTAAAACATAATTAGGAATAGAATCCGGTCTAGTCTTATCAGCTTGAGGCTGATGATAATTCCAAATACATAATTATGATATTTGAATTCCACAAAAGTATAATTTGGAAAATAATTTAAAACTAGAAGCAGCTGATAGAGGTTTTACATTTTGATCTTACACTCTTAAAAACAGAGTGTTAAATTGCTGTGTTTGAATATCCTAGCAGTACAAAATGATAGCTTGCTTATTTTTCAGTTCTTTAAAATGTGATTGGGAAAATTCTTCCTCTAGGTCATCTTGTTCTTGATAATGTTAATTATGCGCAAGCGAGTAGCCCTCACCATTGCCCTGTTCCATGTGGCCGGCAAGGTCTTCATTCACCTGCCACTGCTAGTCTTCCAGCCATTTTGGACATTCTTTGTGCTTATCATCTTCTGGACATACTGGATCACAGTCCTGCTTTTCCTTGGTACTACAGGTAAGGGATACCAGGCTTATTTTTAATAAATTCCACTTCATTTATGTATGGTTTCCAGCAGAGCTGAGTAAAAAGCATGTGGCAACCTCCAGAAAAACACACCCACATATTGTGCTTCTATTCTTGTCTGCTTCAGTAGCTTCAAAACACTTGTGTCAAGGAAGTTCTTGTGAGTTCAGGTCTGCGTTCTCAGTACATTACTTTGTGCCTTAGGCCATCTTTTTGATTTCATGCAAGTTGTCACATTGCAAACCACAAGATTCCATTAATAAGACTGCTATAACAGTGTTTTAAATAATTCCTTCTAATTTTACACAAGTAGGTTTGAAATAGCCTAATCTTGCTGATAATCTCATCAGGTATTGTACTGTGAGCGAGTGCTCACACAGATGAAGACATAATAATGAATGGGCTGTTGCATGCGATTACTCTCTCCCAAAACGTAAATAGACTGAAAATAGTTTTCAGTTGTTGATAATGTAGGTGTCTAGTATTATTCCAGCGTTTTCTAGGATTATTAGGGAGATTATTTCTGCTGTTGATACACTGTATTCTGAGAGCAGCCAACATACTCTAAATTTCTGTCTGCTGTGGAGAGCATAGAAGATGAGACCTTCTAGAACTAGTCAGTCCTTTAGGTCCAAATGTTAGTTACTTCAGCAGAGAAACCTAGCACCTGAGTTTTAAAACGGGAGATGTCTGTATAATTTTGTAGTAAGTTGTGGGCAATAGAGACCATCATTCGTTGTTAAAACCTTAGAATTTTGAAATTTTTTGTTTACTACTGATCCAAAAGTAGCAGTGTTCCAAGTCACAAAGCTATTTCGGGATAATCCAAGATAAGTATTTTTTATTTCATAGCCTGAATTCTTATGGAGGGATGTAGGTAATAGAATACACATGTTCTTATTCTTATTGCTGTTGAAATTTTTGGTTTTCAGTGCATGCTGTGCTATGTGTAGAAAACGTTCACTCTTGAAAGTGATCTGAGTCTCAATTCTGTACTTCACTCTGTGAGTTAAAGACCACTTGCACCAGGGACTCAATTTGTAGCAGAATTTACATTGATACTATATTTTACTGACAGAACTATTTGATTTGCCTTGATTCTGTGAAGACTAATTTATGCTTTTAGCTTTATACACTCTCAGTATAAATTAAACAAAATCTTCACTGGTATCAGTTAAACGAAATCTTTGTACAAATAAGGCAAGATCTTTTCAGTCCAAACCAGAAGAACTGAAAAAACGTATGTTAGCTGTGTATGTTATGTAACTTATTAGCTTATTGACTAAACCCAAAATTATTTCAATAGTTCAGTTCGTTAATGAGAAAATACTTTTTTTTTTATATAAGCATAAAAGTGTAGCTGAGAAGGTGCTACCAATGCTAAGTCAAAAAATTGTATTTGTAGTAAGCATTTTATACACGTGATGTAACTTTCAGTATTTTTCTGAATTTCACCAGCTGTTCACATAACTGTTTTATAAGATGAAACATCTCAGTGTGAGGTAACACATTGAAATAGAGCTTATCCTAGGAGGATTCTGGCATGTGCTGTCAGTCTCAATACATGGTAACACTATGCAGATTAGACAAAGAGTCAGTGGGTCTCTGAATGTGTGAAATACTATATTTAGAATCTCCAGAGCTGCTCTTTATATCTGTAAATACCTTTAAAGTTACAAATATTGTTGAAATACATGCACAAAGGCTGACCATAAGGAAAACAAAAATTATTGTTAATGTTGACATGTAAGGAGCTACGAAGTTCAATGTTGATTCTCACTATATGAATAATATCAACAAAGCAGTATGCTGAAATTAAGGACTGAAGCAGGCTTCTATTATCTTTAATTATAAGAATGTTTGCTTCTTGGTGGTTAGTTTTGAAAATTTTCAACATGTGCCTAAAAATTAAAAGAGGTGTTGTGGGATTTGTGAGTATAGTCAGAATATTTTTTAATGTATTTTTGTGAATGATGTTATACTGATTGTCTCAAAAGCTGTATCTTAGGAGCAATATTCTTAAACATGACATTTAGAGCTGTTAGTAGAAGCTGGAGGGATTTTGCCGTAGGTGGTTATGAACAACTAATACTATATGCTTCCTTCTTTCCGAGTTGGTGTAAGGACCATTTCCTTTTTTTAACCTCATTTATTTCTAGGTACTCCTGTCCCAAACGAAGAAGGATTTGTTGAATTTCGGATGGTAGGTCCTTTGAAATACATGTGGTGGTACCATGTAGTGGGCCTCATCTGGATCAGCGAGTTTATCCTAGCCTGTCAGCAGATGACTGTAGCAGGGGCTGTTGTGACATACTATTTTACAAGGTAAGGATAACTTAGCTTTTCTATGAATAACCTCAAAATGGAATTAACAGAAATAATGAGGGACAGAGGTTTTCGGGAGAACACTTGCTTCCATCCTGGAAGCTGGAGAACAGTTGAATTGTATTGACTCTTTAAATTGTGTCAAGTCCTAAAATAATCTGCTTTGCTGCTTATAGATGGCATTATTGATATTTAGAACTTGAAATCGTGTTTGCCTTGTAACCTGTGCACATTGTACAGACCTAGATGGTTGTTTACAAAGCAGGATGCACTTAGAAGGTCAACTGTGATGCTCATAATTAATACTGATAAGATCAGTAGGGATTAAAAAATTATTGAAAGCAATTTATTATTATTTTAATTACAAAACAGTGCCCTTTAAATTATTTACAGAGCTTCGTTAGTCTTAATTACACAAGATTACTCAAGATCTTACTAGATTCATTGTTTACACATAGATTCTGACAAACAAAAAGTGATTAAAACTCCATATTTCATTGCTATATTTTTGTATTAAATTGTGATCAGGGGATACTTTACATTCACTGTTCTGTGTGTATCTGCTAGCTGTTCAAGAAGGCAATACTAGTTATTAAGCTGGTTTTACCAGCCTTCAGGCACAAGAATTTTGCTTCACAGTGGTAAGAAACTGGCTTCAGAGTCATAAACTTAGCCTTGGGGTTTTATCTCTAGTATTTGCAAACTTCTGAAAGAGAGATTTACCTTAAATAAGAGAAAAATAAAGTTCTCATTTTAGCCATTTAGGACCCAGATTTTTCAGAGGAAAAGCAATATCAGATGGTTTGTTGGTATTTCATGAGAATAAATGGTGCTTAAGTGATCTGAAGTATTAAATTTTGGTATGCAGAGCAGAACTACGGGAATAGTTTTGGTTAAAAAAAGAAGCAAGTACACTAATACCTGGTTTACAGAAATATAGTTTAATGAAGCTTTCCCACATTTCAACCTAGATTTAGTAATTCATGATACATATCTTAAACAAAAACAAACACAAACAAACAAACAAACAAAAACAAACCACCACATCATTGTTCAGGAACTAGGTGAATAATTTTATTTCAAATGTTCTCAGTCTTTCCAAACAATATAAATACAGTTCCTCTGGATAAAGATCAAAATGAGTAGTGGATGTTGACAAGATATTTAGCAATGTTGCTAAAGGAAACCCAAGATATTAGAGTGATGGTATCCCCAAGAAAAAAAACCATTGCTACCCTAAATACACATATAGTTCAGCTAGTGGTTTTTGGTATGTATTTTTGCCTTTTCATATGAAGGATATTGTATGTAAAAATTTCTAGTGATAAGCAGCAACCACACTATTCTACCCATTCGCATTTAGGAGTCTGATTTTTATTTTAAAATATTAGGTTTAAAATAATGCATGCAGGTATTTTTCAAGTGCATGATTCAAATCACAAATGTTTAAATTGGTTTGTCTTTTTAACTGAGACTGTTATCTGAATTACACTTGACTCCTTATCTATCCTTGTCTTTAAAACAATATAAAAGGCAATGAATTAATTTACTGTGCTGACAGAAATTCTGTATTTTATTAATGATGAAGTTCTCCAGTATACCAATGAAATATATCTATGAAGTTATTACAAGGGATGTAATCTTGTGAATAATTAAATTAGATTGAGTGATGAACTGTGAAAATACAGAGAAGAGAGGATAACTTTGCATTGAAATAAGTTGCTTAGCAATGTGTAAGCTACATCTCTAGGTATTTTCTATTACCTGAGAGTGTGGTCAGTGAAGCAGAGTCTAGTCAGAGACCTGTGTCTAGGGGAGTCTTTCAGGGGTCAGTGCTGGCACCAGTGCTGTTCCATATATTCATCAGTGACCTGGACGAGGGATTAGAGAGCACTGTCAGCAGGTTTGCTGATGACACAAAACTGGGAGGAGTGGTTGACACACCAGCAGGCTGTGCTGCCATTCAAAGAGATCTAGACAGACTGGAGGGCTGGATGGGGAGAAATCTTACAAAATTCATCAAGGGCAAGTGTAGAGTTTTGCACCTGGGAAAGAATAACCCCACGTGCCAGTATAGGTTGGGGACTGACCTGCTGGAGAGCAGCACAGGGGAAAGGGACCTGGGGGTTCTAGTGGACAGCAGGATGGCCATGAGCCAGCAATGTGCCCTCGTGGCCAACAAGGCCAATGGCATCCTGGGGTGTGTTAGAAGGGGAGTAGCTAGTAGGTTGAATAAGGTCCTCCTGCCCCTCTGCTCTGCCCTGGTGAGGCCACATCTGGAATATTGTGTCCAGTTCTGGGCCCCTCAGCTCAAGAGAGACAGGGAACTGCTGGAGAGAGTCCAGCTCAGAGCCACAGAGATGATGAAGGGAGTGGAACATCTCCCTGATGAGGAAAGGCTGAAGGAGCTGGGTCTCTTTAGCTTGGAGAAGAGGAGGCTGAGGGGTGACCTCATAAATATTTATAAATATGTAAAGGGAGAGTGTCAGGAGGACGGAGCCAGGCTCTTCTCAGTGATATCCAATGACAGGACAAGGGGCAACGGATACAAGCTGGATCACAGGAGGAAACATTACTAAAAACTTTTTCACTGTGAGGGTGACAGAGCACTGGCACAGGCTGCCCAGAGAGTTTGTGGAGTCTCCTTCTCTGGAGACATTCAAAACCCGCCTGGACCCATGTACCCTACTCTAGGTTATGCTGCTTTGTCAGAGGGCTTGGACTAGATGATCTTTTGAGGTCCCTTCCTTAACATTCCGTGATTCTGTGATTCTCTGAATGATTTTTCTTTTAACTCTACCCTATCATTCCATAACAACAATTTTATTTTAAGTTAGTAAATGCCAGTTTCTCCCTACTGCTATCCTTTTATTTTGTTTTGCGTTTTAAGTACAACTCTAATCTGACGAGTGACTTAGTAAGAAAGGAAAGGACATCAATCGGAATTTCTCCATTACATTGCTTATTAGCAGATTTCCACAGCAAATGAGATGAAATTATCCTTGAAAAAATGTTTTATGTTTGTTCAACTCTTCATTCACCTTAGTCAGATGGTTTGCTTTCAACTCAGGCAATAACAGACCTTGAGGTGTTCTCCATTACAGACTCTGCCTTCAGTTATATCTACCTCAAAAGAAGGAAGTGATTGGGTTGCCTGGGTTTAAGGCTCAGACCATTTATGTGATTGTGCCCAAAGGGGAAGAGAATTTAGCTTTCTCCACCTGAGTTTTGAAATTAATTAGAAGAAAATACAGGATATACTGATCTTAATCATTAACATCTTGGGATTAAGTTATGCAGATGCTACTTTCATGGAATGACAACTCTTAATTTTTTATGTTTTTTGACTGAAACTCACATGAATGTAGCTTTCTCCAAAGCTAGGGCGATACTTTATATTTGGAATGTTAGCACTTGTTCCTTTAGTATGCTTATTCTGTTCATATCTGTAATAAAGGGGAAGAGCCAGTCTTTAAATGTTGAATAGAGCTGTTCTTTGAGAGAGAAATAAAAGTGACTTCATTGGTAGAGAACATAATAAAAGACTTTAAAAGGGAGTTGCTTCAAAACTGTGAAAGTAAATATTCATCTGATAGATTAAAGATACACTAGCTATGTTGCAATAAAATAGTTTGCTTTAAGGCTTATTACTTGGTTCCTTGAGGATATAATAGCTAAATCAGAAATGCAGAACATCTGAAAAAAACAATTTACCTAGTAAATAAAAATAGTAGTATCCCATACAAAGTCTCCACAAACACCTCCAACGGAACAGCAGGGGAAGGCAAGTTTATCAGTCCAGCTGAAAGAGAGTTAACATTGTTTCTCTCTTCTTTAAATGTTTTGAATTGCACACCATCAAATGTGGTTTTTCAGAAACTGGTGGTTGGTGATAGCGGTAATGCAGCCAACTGCTAGTAAGAGTACCCTGAAGACATTCCCATTGCTGCATCAGGGCCAAAACTGTGATTTGCACAGGCTGTCAGTGTAAGCAGTATATCCTGAAACCTAGTATAATACGTTCCTTTACATGTTATTTTATTGAAAATTTCTAGCACTTCTAGATTATATTACATACATACTGATCATTCTGCTCTATTATTTTTCTTTTTTCAACAGGGAGAAAAGGAATCTGCCATTTACTCCTATTCTGGCATCTATTAATCGCCTTGTTTGTTACCACCTAGGAACAGTAGCAAAAGGGTCTTTCATCATCACACTAGTGAAGATACCACGAATGATTCTTATGTATATTCATACACAACTCAAAGGAAAAGTAAGAGATTCCGTTTTCTTCCATTTTCTTCCTGGCACACAAGGCCTGACATTTTTACAGCTAATTTAATTTAACCTGTATGGGAGACTTTTAGAATATTTGGTCTTTAAAGGACTGTAGGACTGAGAGGGACTGCTTAAGTTGAGAATAAGTTACAGAATCACAAGCAGGTATTTTTTCCTTAAGCTTTGTTGGTTTTACACCTTACCGTTCTTTGTTTTCCCACATTCTCTGCTTTCTTAGGAAAATGCTTGTGCTCGCTGTATGCTTAAAGCCTGCATCTGCTGCCTTTGGTGTCTAGAGAAGTGCCTGACCTACTTAAATCAGGTAAGATTTTGCAATATTCGGGTTTCATGTAAGTGCTGATAATATGTAGAGTCACAGAATCATAGAATGGTTTGAGATGGAAGGGACCTGTAAGGGTCACCTAGTATGACCCCCCTGCAGTGAGCAGAGACATCTTTAATTAGATCAGGTTGCTCAGAGCCCCATCAAGCCTGACCTTGAATGTCTCCAGGGACGTGGCTTTTACTACTTCTCTGGGTGGAGCAGTTTGATGCTGGCTGGAGGCCGTGTTCCCACCACAGCTGCTCTATCACTCCCCCTTCTTAGATGGACGAGGGAGAGAAAATATAACAAAAGGCTCATGGGTTGAGATGGGGGCGGAGAGATCACTTAGCAAGTACCATCATGGGCAAAACAGGCTGGATTTGGAGAAGTTAATTTATTATCAATCAAATCAAAGAGAGGAAATGAGAAATAAAATCAAACCTTAAAAAAAACCCACCTTCCCCCCACATCTCTGTTCTTTCCAGGCTTCACTTCATTCGAAGTTTCTCCACTCCTCCCTCCGAGCAGCACCAGGGCACAGGGAATAGGGGTTGTGGTCAGTTCATTAGATGTTGTCTCTGCTGCTTCTTCCTCCTCAGCAGGAGGACTCCTCACTCTTCCCTGGCTCCAGCATGGGGTCCCTCCCACAGGAGACAGTTTTTCCTGAACTTTTCCAACATGAGTCGTTTCTGTGGGATGCAGTCCCTCAGGAACAGACTGCTGCAGCATGAGTCCCCTGTAGGGTCACAAGTCCTGCCAGCAAATCTGCTCCAGTATGGGCACCTCTCTCCATGGCTCCACGGGTCCTGCCAGAAGCCTGCTCCAGTGTGGGCTTCCCACAGGATCACAGCCTCTTTCAGGTGTTCACCTGCTCTGACATGGGGTCCTCCACAGGCTGCAGGTGGACATCTACATCCCTGTCAACATCCATGGAATTCAGGGACACAGCCTGCCTCACCATGGTCTTCACCATAACTCAGGGGAATCTCTGCTCCAGCGTCTGCAGCACCTCGTCCTCCTCCTTCTTCACTGACCTTGTTGTTGGCAATCATTTCTCATATTTTCTCACTCCTCTATCTGCCTGCAATTCCACAGTAGGGTTGGTTTTTTTCCCCCATCTCTTTAATATGTTACCACAGACTTGTTACCACAACCACTGATAGTCACAACCTCGGCCAGTGGTGGGTCCGTCTTTGAATCTGGCTGGCACTGGCTCTGTCAGATCTACAGGAAACTTGTAGGAGTTTCTCACAGAAGCCATCCCTACAGCCCCTCCCCCCTCCCAAAACCTGGCCACATAGACTTCATACACTGGGCAACCTGTTCCCGTATTTCACCACACTC